CGGATGTAGCCTGAAGGCTCAGAGACTCTCTTGCCTCTGAAAGGAAAAATAAACCCACTAATCTTAACAATTATATGAAAGGGGGAAGCAGGAGAAACTGACATCTGCATTAGGAATTTGAGCTGAAAGAGGTGTGTTGAGAGAGAGGGAGCTCCTTTTCCAGAACTCTGATTCCTCTACTCCTGCCTTTTGCCAACAGAAAAAATAATGTAAAATGATTCTATAAAAAGCTATTAATTTATTTTTCCTTTACTGTGCTGAAGGATACTCTGGTGTTTGGAAGAGGGATTAGACAGTTGAGGGGGAGCAAACTGAATGGTGGATATGAAAGTGTAGATGTTTGGGTACAATCCTCAGGAATTAAATCTGCTAACTGCTAGAAACATTGCCATCCAAGTTGTTTGTCATAAGCAGGAGTTAAATGAACAGGCTTGTTGGTAGGAATGGTTTTAGCTTTCAGCTGTATTTATACATCCTTGGGAATTAGAAAATTTAAGCCACAATATCAGTGTGTGTCTAGAGAATAATACTGAATTAAAGGGTGGTGAAGTCATCAATGTGAGTCGAAGTGTTTTATGCACTAGTGTAGTATTTTAATCATCAGCTCAGCTAATCACTTAATGTAAGGGTGATGTGCCACCACCTGGGACGTGTATAGTCCTTGCTACTAAATTCAATTTAGTGTAATTCAGTATGCCATCTTTTAACAATTGCAGGCTCTGAGGATAAGCTGTTGTTTTACATGGCATTATTCAGCATCCTTTTATAGCTGGAACTTTTAGAGCTACTACAGATAATAAAACTGGCAAGGCCTTGTTTTTGAGCACATACTGCTTGTGTAACTTACATGGCTACTCCTGTGCATGCTGCAACTTCTGCAATGATTTTGGTCTCTCTTCTTATCCTGGAGGCCTCACTGTTTTCTAGGAAGTCAGTTTGCAGCACCTGTACTTCTTAATTGTCTCGGCTTCTAGACTTAAGTACAGAATGGACTAAAGCATCACGACAAATGCTTTTGGACATTTTTAAGCATATTTTCTATGCAGCAGTATGAGGCGCCTTGGGGTCCCGCGACCGCTCCGGATAGCCACAGGGTCGGGACCTCAGATGCCTCAATGGTAGTAGAAAGAAGAGGCTTCCACCAAGGCGGGTGACTCTCAAGAGGCTTTATTCCTGAGGGCTTCAAGCAGGGAAGGTGAGGTGGGCAGCAAAGGGAAGCAGCTGCTCAGAAGGACAGCCAGCTCTGAGAGCCCCGAACCAGGGGCGGGGCAGGGGTTATAACAGTAACCGGGAAGGAGGGTCAGGGTACAGAGCATCCAACCGGGTGAGGGCTTGAGGGTGGAGTCAGTGAAGAGTGACACGGCAACGGCCAACTGGGATAGAGGGAAGGAGTGGTTTCGGGGGGAGAACCAATGGGGGTACAAAGAACTCAGAACTTTCTAGAACTGGGGAAGGAGTACAAAATGATTGACAGGAACAGGGGGAAGGGATAACAAATAACTGACAACTGGGGAAGGCGGGAAACTACACATCAGTCGCCTCCCATGGTAAGGCAGGGAGGCCATCAGCCACACCCCCTCCCACAGCAGTAATGTTTGTGTCAAGTACTTAATCAGACTTAATTATTTTTCGTTTTGTTGTTGCTACAGCTGCTTCATGCAGGAGAAACAGGTTAGCAGTAGGTCTGTGATTTGTAAGGGCTTTAAGCTTTTGGTGGGGTGGTAGCGTGGTGGGTTGATCCTGGCTGGACACTAGGTTCTCCTCTGAAGCCCTGGCACTCCTTGACTGGTGAGAGAAAACATGAGGAAAGGGTGACAAATTAAGGATGGGGAGAGATCGCTCAGTGATTACTGTCATGGGCAAAACAGACAACTTAGGGAAATTGGTTGAATTTATTACCAATCAAATCAGAGTATGATAATGAGAAGTTGTCCTGGTTTAGGGCAAATCTGGGAGGAAACCTCCAGGAGAAGCCCCCACAGACAGCAAACCCCTACGCCCCCCCCCCCCCACCTCCCCCCACCTAATTCAGGAAGAATTTCCTTAGAGAGAAGTGGAAAAAAACCTGTTTATTTAAGAGACAGAAACACTCCCCGGCACAAAACAACAACACCAGATGACAAAAACTCTTTCACTGCTCTGAAGAGATGACAAATTCAGAAAGTCTCTCTTGGGAGTGGTCGCTCAGTTATTGGTCTCTGGCACTGGGGATGGCTGTGGCAGGTCACAAAGTGCAGGCTCTCGGTGTTTCTTGGTGTTTCCCAGGTCCCAGCCTGAAGCAGTTTTGGATGGCATTCAGGAAAGGGAAAGAAAAACAGTCCAGGGAAAGAAATTGGACTGCATAGCTTAATTAACCAAGTAAAAGCAAGAAGCAGGAACAAGAGCGAAGCAAAAGCAAGGCAGCCAGCCAGCAAGCAAGCCAGCCCTGTCCTCTCTCCTGGACACAGACCATGCTGGGAGGTGAGCTGGCTGATAGCAAGACAAAACAAACCTTCACTGTTTGGAGTCAGTCCTGAAGGCATAGAACATAATATCAAGCATAAACAGAACACAAAACTGGGGATACAAACACCATAACATCACCCTAGGCCATCACCCTAGATGTAAAACCTACATCTTTCCTAACTGTTTTATCCTTCCTGGGCCTGTCTGCACTCACAATTTTTTCCCTCCATCCCCCAGCCATTCAGGATGACCAGAGTAGGGGTTACAGTCAATTCATCATACCTTGTTTCTGCTGCTCCTTCTTCATCACATATTCTCACTTGGTCTCTGGTTGCAACTTGCTTCTGCTCAATGATGTATTTTTTTCTCCTTCTTACGTTGTTCCAAAGGTTCTCCTCCCACCACTGACTGTCTTAGCCTTGGCCACTGTGGGTCCATCTTGGGTGCTGGCTGACACTGGCTCTGTAAGATGTGAGGGAAGGTTCTAGCAGCTTCTCAGAGAAGCTGCCTTTGTAGCCCCCCAGCTCTCAAAACCTAGCCATGCCAACCCAGGATAAACAAAATAAAATACAGAAATTATTTATGTGCTTTCATTTTAACAGTGGCAGCTGTATTAGCAACAGTCTTTACTGTATCAAGTTTACTGTGTTCTTCAGTACTGCAATCTATGTTTTCTCAAAGGTGTTATTTCCACAAATAAACATATTTATTTTCCACTTGAGTAAAGATTAATTGAAATATTTTATGATGCCAACTTTGATATCCTTTGTTAATATTAATTGGAGTCAGTCAAATGTCTGTTTCAACATAATGTGGATCATGTTGCTTTTTTCTATTCTAAGGTTTTTATAACTGTTATAAGATTCAGTCTTCTGTTTCATGCCAGTAGCAGGAACTCAAGTTTCCTACTGCTCTTACTAACTTAGAATTACTGAGTATCAGCAGACTGTCACCTTTTCTCATGTTTAGAATTACACTTTTGCAGGAAAAGTCAGATGCCAAATTACCACTTACTATTCAGTGCTTTCTTTCTGCTTGACTGAGAGTGATGGTATTTTTTGAGTGCTGATTGCAGCCACCTCCTGGTCCTTGCATGGTTTCACCAGTATGAATTGCAGGGAGAAAGCAGGCAGTGATTGTTTGCTCTTCGGTCTTTTGTGTTTAACTGGCTGCCTAATGAGAAGGAGACACTGACTCTGGTAATGGCCAAGCAAAGGCCTACAGGGAAATGGGGTTCATGCAAAATCCTTCCACACTGAGGAGTCTTGCGTAAGAGATTGCAAGTTTCTCATAGCTAGAAAAAGAGGAGAATGATAATCTTGCAAGCATTTACAGAATGTCATGAATTTGACCCCCTCCTCTCTTATTAGAGCTCTGCTTTATCAGGGGGTCTTATTGGGATATACATATTTAAAACTGCTGGGGTAAGCCATTCCCTAGAACAAGGGGTACAGTTCATTCTCGACAGTTTGTTGTCTTGTCTGTTCCAAAGACCACCCAATGAACAAAGTTCTTTAAGTTACCATTGTAGTTAAATGCTTCATTATGCCTTCTTTATTTTTTTTCCCTTTGCCATCCCTTTTCCTTGGCTAAACAGTACTAGTCATTTCTTTGATTGTTTTCATATTTGCTAGACTTCTGCGCTTTCCTATGGACACTCTCCAGTATTTTCATATTTTCTTGAGAAAATTGCCTGAGATGGGCAATAGTACTTCTATTTAGTACTTGATGTCCTCAGATCAGTGTTTTACATGTTTTACAGTCTGTACTCCTGTGTAGATATAATGCCACTACTGTCTTTTCTCCTTTTGTCATTATAGGATCACATGTAGATTTAAGTTAATTTGTGCTGACAGGGTACCTTCATGTGAACTCTTGGCAGACCCTCTTGTTATATTTATTAATAAACAACAGTGTTTTTAAGAAAGGGATGAATGTAATACATGCTATGGGAATTTATGGTCTTGCTATAAAGTTACAGTTTATTCTTCTTTTGCTAGCTGCTATAGTGCTCAAAACCTTGGGGTATAAAAGGCTAATTTTGTGCTTCAATTCTCTTCTATGACACTGATTTACTCTGCTAATCTACTCTACTATCCCATGCCCCCTTCCCACAAGACCTGATGTTTTAATACCTTTAAGACTCTCCTTACCAGTTCAGATAAAAAATAAAAAGAAAGGTTTCCCATCCATTTCAGGATGGGAATGAAAACACTTTTGTAAATGGCTTGCAAATAACACTGAGCTAATTTGTAATTCTTTAGGTGTGCCATCTCAAAAGCACTTCTGAAACTTAGTCTACGAAATGAGTACTTAGGATGTATTCTGTTGTTGGTTATGTTGTTGGCTAACGTGACTTATTAATATTGTCAGTTCTTGTGGGATGTAGGTTTTTTGTTATTGTCCCTGACTAATCAAGCAGGGGGCAAGTTGTAAATCTGTGTTATAATGCATGCTAATACTTTTCTGTCTTTTACAAGATGTCTTGATAATAAAAAAATTCTGTCTCTAAAGTATGATTACATGTGAAAAATTCATTTTTTCTTTCTTTACAGATATTTTCCAACTTATCTCTGAATGAGCGTTGCCTTTCGGTGTCATTAGTCTGTAAATATTGGCGTGACCTCTGTTTAGATTTTCAGTTTTGGAAGCAACTGGATCTCAGTAGTCGTCAGCAGGTATGAAAGTATCACTGTGGAATAATTGTTTTCATAACTCAGAATTTGTTCTTGGAACTTGTACTTTTGACCAGGGTTAAACAGAAGAAGCATTATCAAATGATGATATCTGTAGTTGTATGGATTTTTCTGCTATTTGCTGAAAATGTCTGGACCCTTAGGTTGGTTCTTTTAAATATAATATATTTTATCTGAGATCAGTTATTAAATAGTGTGAGCACAAGTGCTATTTGAAATGGATTGTGGGTTACCCGTCTCAGCTCTGCATCAAGTGGTCTGGAGCTGTGAGACATCTTATTAATTCAAAGCCAAACATGAGCATTTCTGAGGATGCTGTAGTTGGAAAAATGGTCACATATGTGGTGCTTGCTCTGTTTGTTTTAACAATTTTTTTTTATTTTATTCTTCAGCTGGTATGGCTCCTACTCATTAGAAAAGAGACTGTTTTTGGTGTTTTGGGGTTTTTTTTAGGCTTTTAGCCAATCCTAGAGTGAAATATTTGTGTGTTTAATTCAGTGAGATCCCTAGGAGCCTAGCCTTAAATTGTACAGGGTAACTTCCCTCCTTGGAAAGCTTTAGGGATGCCAGTATTGTTTGGCCACTGCCCTTGGGTTTCTGGTTGAGTAGTGACTTGCAGGGTCTATAAAGTGCATCTTGAGCATTTAATGAAAATACAGGGTGCAGAGAAATAACAACTGGACAGTTGCATTTGAAGAAGGATTTTTTTTTCTTTGCAATTTGTTGTTGTGGTTTAAACCCAGCCAGCAGTCAAGGCCCAGGTAGCCAGCCCTTCCTCATTCTCCCACCAGTAGGGTTGGGGAAAGAACTGGAATAATAAAAGCTACATAATTCATGAGTTTAAAGAGTTTAGTAGTGAAAGCAAAATTACACACACATACACAAAACAAGCAGAGCAAAGAACAAATTCACTGCTTCCTACCTTAGCTGGCAGGTGGTCAGGCATCCCCAGAAGAGCAGGGCCCCATCACACTTGAGAAGACACTTCTCAATGATTTGAGAAGACAAACACCATCACTGGAAATGTCCTCTCCTTTCTCCTTCTTCCCCTCACTGACTGACTGACTGACTTATCACTGACTGTGATGCCACATGGTCTGGAATATCTCGTTGGTCAGCTAGGGATTACCTGTCCTGGCTGTGTTCCCTCCCAGCCTCCCAGCCTCTTTGCTAGTCTGGCCAGGTAAAAAGCAGAAAAAGCCTTGGCTCTGTGCAATCTCTATTCAGCAATAAGAAAGCCAGCACAAATCCAAAACGTAGTTGCGTTCTAGTCACTGTGAAGAAAATTCTACCCCAGACAAAACCAATATAGTTCTTTTCCATTTTAACACCTGCCTGATGAAAGAGCAAGAAAAAAGATCTGACTTGCTACAAACAAAAACCATTTTGAATGCAGCAAAGACTTTTCCTCAGCTGTATAAGACAAAAATCAAAAGGGATTTGTGTTGCTCTTTGCCCTCTTTGGTTAAGGCTGCCAAATATGGGTAAATATTTCTAAATGGTAGGATTGTTTTCTTTTAAGGTTATTGTCACTTTGTCTGACTACAATGTGTATAGATACATAATGGATGGAATGTTTTTTTTACAAAGGTGATAAGGAAACTTTGCTGCTTTGTCAGCCACACTGGCACCACCTGCTTGGGACCGAAGCTCCTCTGCAGAGGTGGCCCCAGGGAGGTGATGGATGCCCTGCTTCGCTCCCTGCAGGCCCCACACAGTCAGACCACTTCCCTTACTGCCTCAACTTCAGGTTTCCCACATCAGAGTCCCAGACCTCTGGCTCCTTAAAATAATGTGATCATTGTTCAACAACAGAATAACTCCTCAGGCTGGATGAGGAGGGACCCAACAGAAGGACTCCGGTGCTTTTACACCCTCATAGGCTGTGCCTGGGTACATCTGGAGGCTCTTGGCTCCTGCTGTATTCCTAAGTGTCCCTCACGTGGCTGTGCCTCAGGTCTTTGTGTCCTTTAATGTACAAAGGGCTGGCACCAGTTCACGGCCATTTGCCTCTGGCTGGGCCACCTGGAGCTCAACTGCAGCCTGAGCTATGTGCACTGGGTGTATTCCTCAGCAGTTCTCCCTCTGATTAAATGGAGCATACCTGCTAATATATTAAAATGAAAAAAGAAAAGTTTTAAGACATTGTGCCGTTCCATACAGCATTCCTACAAGTAAGAAACATGAATGAAGACTAACACAATTGCCATAGGGCACAAATGATTATCAATGTGAAATCACATATATTTCGGTAAATAAAGGCAGTAATGTTTGGTGGCTACAAGTTACATAATTATTAGTTGGTATTCTACCTTCTGTTGGTAAATTAAATGATTTTTGCACTTCTTATGCTAATTAGTCCATATACTCAGTCTTTCTGGTCTTTTGGGTTGGTGGGTTTCTTGGGTTGGTGGTTTGTGGTGTTTGCCATATCTCCTTGCCAGAATTGCCTTTTACTCAGTTGGAATTGATTCAACACAGTTGCTGGGTTGGCTTTTTTAGTTTCTTCCTTAACCTAAGAAGTTCTGCCAAATGTCATTGTTGTCTATGAATTCTGTGTTCTTTGTGTCCACTGTCAGGAGTACATTAGTCTCCCTAAGCTTTGTTAACCTTCCCTAGGAGCTGAGGTCATTGAGGCACATCAAGCCCTAAACCTTAATAAGGCAATTATACCAACAAATAATTTATCTTTCTAATACCTGAAAATCACAGATACTCTCTTCATGTCTAAAAAGAGAAGCAGGTGTGTGGTTACCCTCCTAACTCTGGAGCTCAGTCTGGTACTTGAGAACTTCTGTCAATCTGGGCAGCCATTTGGGATTCTTTTTGTAGTGACATAAGTTCCTGCAGCTGTCCGTATTTTCTGTACTTGTCTAGCTGTTGCTTCTCCCTCTGTGAGCTTTATCATGAAACCTAGCTACAGACTACATAGTATGTCAGAACTGGCTTCCCCCCAGTTGACCATATTCTATCAAAATCATCAGTCCCCCACCCCTCTGAAGCAAACTAATTGCAGTAAAAGATTCAGCCATAGGTAGTATTTGTAAAGGAGGTATAGTTTCGTTTTTTCTATAGCTCATGGAAGTATATCTTACAAACAGCCATTTGTCTCCTAATGACATTAAAGATCTTTATGGAAAAAGTTATATGTATTTCTTTTTTCTTTGCAGGTCACTGATGAGCTGTTGGAAAAAATAGCATCAAGAAGCCAGAATATTACTGAAATCAATATTTCTGATTGTCGCAATATATCTGATACAGGAGTATGCATTTTAGCAATTAAATGTCCTGGGCTCTTAAGATATACTGCCTACAGGTGTAAACAGCTTTCTGACACCTCTATTATTGCAGTTGCCTCTCAGTGTCCTCTTCTTCAGAAAGTGCATGTGGGCAATCAAGACAGACTCACTGATGAAGGCCTGAAGCAGGTAACCATCCATTCCACAAATTCCTTCTGTAAACTTAGTATATTTCAGTTTAGCAAGAAGAAAATAACCTTTTGTAATTTAATACAAATTACAAAAAAATTTCTGTTTTAAAAGTTGATGTTTGGAGACTTTTTTTTTGGTGCAGTAAATGCTGCTCTCTGTAGACTGCACATACGTTCTTTATTCTTTTTAATACCTAGTGATTGAATGATTGCTTTTGTAGTTAAACGTGCAGTTTGACATTCTATACTTCACTTCTGTTGTATTCAATATCCTGAGCTTGGTTGCTATTCAAAACCTGTGTTTAAGTAATTCATTTATCTTCATGAACGTTGAAAGTGATTAAGATCTTTATTTGTTGGATGTGCAGGAAGGTTTTGTCAACTCTCAGAGAGTTTTAAAGGAGCATTTAGGACTTAGGGTAAATCAAATAAGTTGTTGAGCATAAAGGTATTGCTAGCTACCTGTACACACAGTAAATAACTTAGTCCTTATGTGCTGCTCTTAGCTCCATTTTGTTGACTTCATTTTGCCACGTGTGTAATTAGAATCTTTCTTGTTTGTGTATGGTGTTTCAAAGCCTGAAAAGAAAGATAAATTTTAATGGGGGGTGGAGAAGCAGAAAAAAAATACTTTCTCCTATCTCTTCATTTTAGTCAAATGCTGTTATTGTTTTTTTTTCACTTTGATTTCATTAATTGCAGCTCGGTTCAAAATGCAGGGAATTGAAAGACATACATTTTGGGCAATGTTACAAGATCTCAGATGAAGGAATGATCATTATAGCTAAAGGCTGTTTGAAGCTGCAAAGAATATATATGCAAGAAAACAAATTAGTAAGTACATAATGATTATATTCTTCCCAAGGCATTTTTTGATTGTCAAAGCTTTCTCTTGTTCTTTATCTTTTAAAAATTTTCATTAGAATTCACTTACTTTTTGCAAGTGAATTGCTTAAAAATGTTCCTGGCTGTGAAAATTGCAGTTCTACTGAGATGGCCCAGAAGGTGATGCAAAGTACAAGTTAAGTGAAATGTATTAACTTCTTGTTTTTAACATGGTATTTCACAAGTAATTTTTTGGGATGTGCGTGGTTTGTATAGGAAAATACTTGCTTCATATGGAATGTTTATTTTGTTTCTATAACTGCAGTTAAAAGTGCAAACAGCTAAAATATTTTTTGGGCTTTGGTTCTTGATTACAAGTGATACATGCTGATAATATTTTCTTGAAATATGTCACTTTCTCATCAGGATGGAGTAGTGTGCCTATGCTAGTAGAAGGAAATTGTTGAGAAGTAACAAAACAATCTTGCATCCTATTCCAAGCAGTCTCCGAAAGGATGGTTTCTAATGTAGAAAGAGAATGGCTTGCATATGGTATGCCATGACACTGTCTTAGGTTTTTTCCTAAATTTCATTTTATTTTTTAAAATTTGTTTCTTGCAGGAAAGTAAAACTTGCTTGCAGTTGAATTTTTAACTGTCAGCTAACATCATGGTTATAACCTTTGTTTCAGAAGTGCTGAATTGGAACAAATAAATTGTGTTTGTAAGAAAACAGCATACCTTGTATTCAAGAATCATTTGATATTTGGCTTCAAAAAACCAAAAAATGGGTAATGCTCAATATTTTTTTTTTTTAAATATAAACCATTCTCAAATCAACAAAGAAAGAAAAAGGCAGACAGTTCTTGGTTTTGATCAGAACTGTAGAAAGTTGAAAAATAGGGATAGAGATCTAAACTGAGATTTCTGTGTAGTTTAAATGCAGAAAAAGGGCACGTCCCTCCTCTTATATTGAAACACAATCTTGAATACTGTCAAAGCTAGTCCTTCTTACCTTAATACATAAAAAACTTTAAATATGAAAAAGAAAAATAAATGATCTGAGAAATCTGGAAGGAAAAACATCTTCCTTCTCTGGAAAGAGGAAGGTGGGTTAATTAAAATTATCTATCTTTGAAAGGAAGAGGAGAACCTTCAAGATTTGTGTAGCTGCATGTAAAAGATGCCTTAATTATAATTAAGAAAATAGTGTGTTTAAATATCTGCATAAGTGCTTGATCATTGGAAAATATGGAGGCAAGGTATTAACTTATCTTTCCTTGTAGATGCATCATAGACTTCTCATCACTGAAGTTTTTATTCTCTTTACAATGTGAAGTGTAACCTAAGAAGTTGTTATTGCAGCTATTAGCACTTAAAGACTTTGTGGTTTTAGTATCTGAAATGTCATCAAAGTTCCTGGTTGAAATGGAACACAGGAAGTATTTTAATCCTTTCTGAGGCAATCGTGAAATGTGCTCTTAACTTGTATTCTACTTAATTGCTTCATTTTTGAAAACATAACATTGATTTTTAATCACAAATAAGACAAAAATATTTGCTGCCAAATAAATAGGAAATTTCCCTTGATTTTGCCCCTTCTAGTAATTTGTCTAATGACTTACCAAAACTGAAATTTTGCCTAGTTTTTAATTAATTTACTTTCTTTTTTAAGTACCTAATTGTACTTAAATTCCCACCCATTCTTAATTTTTCAGGGGAAAGAAAATGTCTTGGGGCAAATTTGGTGTAGCTCTGTAAAATTAAAATTCAGATTCATAGATCTTCATATGTACAAATGAAGAAAGTTTTGAATCTGTTATGAACTCCAGTGTGTTGAATCCTTAGAAAAAAATAAGACTTGAACAATGTCATTAGATGACAAAGCTGAAGGAGCTGCTGTGCTTTTCCTTTACAAGGGATGAGCGACTTTCAGATCTTGCTGGCAGTGTAGTTTTGTATGATGAACCAAGACAACTTTTAAGAGGTTCTCATTTAGTTGTAAAATAGAAAATTTTACATGCCAAAATAAATTAAATATACAGGGATTGTTTAGTTGTGGAATTACCTTAAAAGGGAGTAATGGTTGGCAAATAGTTTGTCAGATTCTATGGGTTACTTTTCTCCCTTCTAAAAAATCTACTTAATATTTGGTGTGGCATATATTACTTCCTCCTCCTCGGGTGAAGAAGGTGGTTTGGGGAGATATGTGTTGGTGTTTGTGTATTTTCAAAATGAATAAGTATTCATTCTCTGAAAACAAAATATTCAGTGACAAGAAAAGTATACTTGATGTACAAGGGCTTGGTCTGTATATTTGAAGTTCATACATTGTCAGTATGCTAGAAAAAGGACTCCTATCCTCCCCTTTTAAGCAATTGCTGTAGCATCCATGTAAATAATGTAATAGTCTTGTGTTTTGCATTTTCTTGTTTATTCCTTTCTCAGAGGTGCTTGAAATCACGTATGTGACTCTTACAGGCAATTTCTGTTAATTTCAAAAGGTGTAGTGCATTACAGATAGTACATGATGTTTGAGTTTTCATATAGGCTTGTCTCACACTAATGGATTTTGCACTTCAAAAATACATCTAGGCAGAGGCAACCATCAGCTAAATAATGCCTTTGTGAGTGTTACTTTGCAGTAAAATGTGTGTGGATCAGGCAACACAGTTCAGTTGCTTCATCTGTTGCTAAGTAACTCCATTATCAGACTGCTGAGCAGAAGCAGAGAAGGGAGAATTTATGTTCTGATTGTTGAGTATGCTAGACATTTCACAGAAAAATAGACCCTTTCCTATCTTTGAAGTGCTGATTATGTCATGGTAATAAGCAAAAGCTGCAATTAATAAGTGGGACAAAGGATGTAGTAGGAAAAAGTTAATGTTGCATGGCTAACTCAGCAACAGAAGGTTGTTGTTATTTGCATAACTGTTTAGGATTTGTATCTCTTGAAAACATGTTTATTTTTCCTCTGTCCTTTGAATGACAGAAAATTGTATGCTGAGCCTCTTCTCTGAAGCATACTGGCCAAATTGGGAGCCTAGTAAAAAAAAAAAAAGATAACTGTGTTATCTCTCTTGATCTGCCCCCAAGGAGTTTGATGCAATTGAATAATCTCACAGAATTTCAGTGTAAATGGGAGAACAGATTATAGCTCTGTCTAGACAAAACTAGAAAATGTCTTAATTTCTTGGCTGAGTTTAGTTGGATTTCTTATTTTATGGATGTGACTGGTATGGTATGCTATAACTTCTTGCATTATGTGAATGTTCAATTTGAATGAAGCTGGTGTAAGATTAATGGGTTAATTTAATTGTTATCTTTGTACCAATTGCTGTTTTTAATCTTTCCACCTGCCACAAAGGGTACCTAGCTTAGGTGCAAAGTCAGATTACTCTTCCAAACAAATGTGTAATACTCTAGCTGAGACGCAGAGTGGGGGGTACCTCACCTGAATGGCTTTTATTGCAGTAGAAGGTACTGCAATACCTTCTACTGCAATAAAAGTTGCAGTAGAAGTGGAGTCCTAAAATGTTTTAAGGGTTTTGTGAGGTGCAGAACTCAGTGACTACAGTGCACCCAAATGAAAGGGTTATCTCCAGAAGCTTTTGTACAAGCTGTCTGTTTTCCTTATTTCAAATAGAGGAGATCTAGATTTAGGAGCTCAATGTAGAGCTGGAGAAAACCCTTCTCCACTTAACTAAATTGATTTTACACACTATTTTCTTTTTAATTACTTGTCCTTAACTGGGTAACTTAATGGCTACGATCATGACACAATGCTTGCTGAAACTTAACGGGTGATAGTTACAAGTTTGTTCCTTCCTATTCCACCCAGTGTCTATGTGTCTATGGGTTTTTTTTTTTTTGTTTTGTTTTTTTTTTTTTTTGTGGAGAGCTAGATATAGGTAATGAGAAAGAGCTTCTAAAGATAAAGTGAGGTGGAATTTTAGATATTGTAAGAGAATGACAACATTCCTACCTCTATACTTTGTTCCCTTGCTCTCTTTTCTTTTTTACAAGCTCATTTAAGAGCGGATGTGCTACTGTAGTAGCTGCTATGGCAGCACTTCTTCCTTTCCAATAAAATAACATTGTGAAGTGGATCCTTAAAGGCAAATAATATGTTTGAGGGTTCCCAAATATGTTCATTAAGACAGCTAGCATATAACTTGACCATGTTTCTATTTCTTTGTTAGACTCTTGAGTCTTCAATTTCAAACCAAGTTTTGGCCCAGTTGGCAGTATGCTTGACATGTACTGACACTTTTTAAGTTGTCATCTTAAAGCCACATATTTTAAAGGTGGCTACTTAGCAGGTTTTTAAGATGAGTATTCTGTAAGTGTTCTGCTTACCTTTGCAGTTTGCAGCAGATACGTGTTTAAATTCTAGTTAACTGTGATGCTGTGTTTGATAGAAACTGCAATGCTTATGATATGTAAAAAATATGCTTTAGTTTCAGTAAAAAAAGAATTAAAGTAGACTAAACAGAATATTACAGTTTTGTCACACATTTAAACAGTTAACATATCTTTTACAGCATTGGCTGGAATCAGCTTAGTATAAATGCATAGTAAAAAATAAACTTAATTCTCATATTTTCTGAAAAAACAATATTGTGTAAGCTGATAAAATTACTTTTGTCTTTTAATGATATTCCCCTCCCACTTCTGTTTTTACTTTGGGAACCATTTTCCTTCCTGTTTTGTACCTGTCATCTACGAAACACTTACTTCAGCATTGTGCTTTGTATCACAAACATTGAGAGGAGAGAGTATTTTGCTTTGAGTTTAACCTGGGAAAATGTTTCAGGAAGAAAGTATCATAAGGCATATAAACTGTGCAGTGTCAAATGTTTAGAATGTATGGAAATAGCTTACTTTGTTTCAATAGTAACAGGTAAATTAAAGAAATTTTATGGGAAAAATATTCTAAAGAATGTAATTTCCCTGTCCTTTTTCATCCCCCACAATGTATTCCATATGCTGTTTCTCTTTTTACATGCA